AGAAGAAATTAAGGAATATCTACAATAAAAAATACAAATACAGCATACAGAAATCCGTAGGTCATAATGAAAGCAGTCCTAAGAGAAAAATTTATAACTGTGAATTTTCACATCAGAAAAAAATAGAATGAGCCCAATTAAACCACCTAATGCTGCACCTCAAGCTTCTCGGGGAAAAAAAATTAATCCTAAAGCCCATACAAGGAAGAAAATTATTAAGAAAGGAGAAGAAATAAATCAATGGAGAGTAAGAAAATGATACAAAGAATTAATGAATTGAAGAATTGGTTCTTTGAAAGACTAAATAAAATTGATAAATACCTATCCAACCTTATCAAAAAAGGGAAAAAAAACCTCAAATCCAGGAATGAAAAGGGAGAAATAACTACAAATCATGTGGAAATTCAGATCAGAAATTCCTGCTTCAAATATCTTTACTCAGGATGGAAAACATAGAAGCAATGGACAAATTCCTAGAAACTTATGAATTTCCAAAACTGAATCGTGAAGACATAAAAATTCTGAATAACCCAATATCAGTTAATGAAATTAAAAACTTATCAAAATGGCCAGTGATTTATCTCAGTGGCATAAGGCCTACCTTGCAAACACATGGTCCCTAGTTTGATCCCCAGTACAAAAAAAAAAACTTACCAACAAAGAAAAGCCTAGGTCCTAATGAATTCATAACTGAATTCTACAAGAAATTTAGAGAAAGTTTCATGCCAAAACTCCTAAAAATCTTTAATGAAATTGAAAGGGAAACAATAGTCACTAACTCTCTCCTGGAAGCCAGTATTACTCTGATACCAAAACCAGAGAAAGACCCCAGCCAAAAAAAAAAAAAAAAAAAAAAAACCTGTAAGCCAATCTCCCTAATGAACATAGAGGCAAAAATTCTCAATAAGATACTAGCAAACAATGCAACAAATCATTAAGAGGATTATACACTATGACCAAGCAGAATTCATCCCAGAAATTCCAGGGATGGTCCAACACATGCAAATCAATAAATGTAATACACCATATTAACAGAGCCAAAGATAAAAATCATATGATAATCTCAATAGATGCAGAAAAAGTTTTTGATAAAGTCTAACACTCATTCAAGATAAAAACTCTTCAGAAAATCAGAATAAATGGTCTTTACCTCAATCTGATAAAAGTCATCTATGACAAACCAACAGCTGATATCATACTAACTTGACAAAACCTGAAAGTTTTCACTCTAAAATCAGGAACAAGACAAGGAAGTCCACTATCACTATTCCTATTCAATATAGTTCTGGAAACATTAGGCAGAACAATTAGACAAGAAAGAGAAATAAAAGAAATAAGGATAAGAAAGGAAGAAGTTAAATTATCATTATTCACAGATGATATACTCTACATAGAAGACCCTAAAATTTCCACTGAAAGACTGCTAGATTTAATAAACAAATTCAGTAGTGTAGTTGGATACAAAATCAACACTCAAAACTCAATAGCTTTCATATGCACAAACAACGAACTCACTGAGAGAGAAACTAATGGAACCACACTCTTCACAATAGCACCCAGAAAAATGAAATACTTAGGACTCAATCTAACAAAGGAAGTAAAAGATTTATACATTGAAAATTACAGTACTTTGTAAAAGGAGATCAAAGGGGATACCAGAAAATGGAAAAAAAATCCCTGGCTCATGCATAGGAGGAACCAATATAGTGAAAATGGCCATACTATCAAAATTATTATACAGATTTCATGCCCTCCTGTTCAAAATATCATTAACATACTCCACAGATCTAAAATTCATTTGGAAACAGAAGCAACCTAAGATAGCAAAAGCAATTCTAAGCAATAAAGACAAGGCAGGAATCATCACAATTCCTGACTTGAAATTATCCTACCAAATTACTGACAAAATCAGCATGATACTGGCAAAAAAAAAAAAAAGACCTGAGGATCATTGGAACAGATTAGAGTGTGCAGACACAACTACAAACATACTCACCCACTTTATCTTTGACAAAGAGGCCAAACATGTTCTCTGGAAGAGAGATAGCCTTGTTAATCAATGGTGTTGGAAATACTGGCTTTCCATATGCCAAAGATTAAAACTAGACCTATGTCTATCACCATGCACTAAACTAAAATCAAAATGAATCAAAGATCTAAATATTGAAACAGACACACTGAGTCTATTGGCAAGGAAAGTAAGTAGAAATCTTGAAGACATAGGGATAGGTGGAGAGTTCATCAACAGAACCCAAACTGCATGGGAATTACTTCAAAGAATCAGTAAATGGGGTCTCATCTTATTAAAAAGTTTTTGCACATCAAAATCACCAACAGCATGAAAATAAAACTCATAGATTGGGAAAAAAAACATAGCCAACTCTCCCTCAGACAAAAGACTTCTATCTAGAGCATATAAAGAATAGAAAAAATCAGGTCCCCAAATTCAAAGACCTAATGGACATCTGAGATGAATGCACATTTCTCAAATGACAAATATATATATGAAAAAATATTCAACATCATTGGTCAATAAAGAAATGCAAATTAAAACAACACTGAAATGTAATCTCACCTGAGAAGGAATGACTATCATTAAGAAATCAGCCAACAACAAATAGCGGGGAGGCTTGGGGGAAAAGGAACCCTTCTCCACTGTTGGTGGGAGTGTAGAAATCAATGTAGAGAGTCCTCAAAAGATTATGAATAGATGTCTATTCTACCCAGCTCTTCTCCTTGTGGGTGTCTTCCCAGAAAAACTAAAAACTTATCACAACAATATGTGTGCACCCATATTTATAATACCACAATTTATAATAGCTAAATCTCAGAAACACCTATTATCTGAGGAATGGACAAAAAGATGTGGTACTTTTATACAACAGAGTTTACTCAACTACAAAGATGAATAAACCTGAGGCTTTTATAGAGAAATAGATGCAGCTTGAGACCATACTCATAAGTGAAATAAATCAGACTCTCATATGAAAACATCATATTATCTCCCTAGTGCAAGAAACTGAAAAATAAAGGTCCTAAATGCACAATAGGTATTGTGAAAGGGGAAGAAACTGCCCAAAAAAGAAAGAACCAATGGGATGGGGGAAAGGAAAAAGAAGGGGAGAGAAAAGAAAACAATATATGTATGTATGATAATTGCACTACTAATTTCTATTAGTTCAATGAAAAGAATGGTTTGATCAGTTTTTCATGCCTATATCTTATAATCTGAGCAACTACTTTGAAGATAACAATACCCAATATATTACCCATTTTAATCCCCTGTTAACTCATTTTGAAATTCTGTAATATTGTTTTTGGTTTTCCTCTTTAAAATAAATTTTAAAAGGAAAAAAATCTATTAACTTTCAAAATAGCATTTCCTCCAAAATTTGATTTGACATCAAGATACAAGTGAAGTATGGTGTTGGGTGATGGCGGTGGAGGACAGGATTGAGGTGTGGCTACCAGTCTGTGTCTCTGAGCAAGTAAGACGGTCCCTCTGCCTCCCATTCCTTAAAGGAGGGTGAGAGTAGAGCCAAGCAAGAGGGACGAGGTATATGTATTAAGACTATTAATACTATAGAAAAGTTGAGATGACTATTAATACAATAGAAAAGTACTTCTGTTGGCTTCTGAGTCCCCTTGAAATTTCAAATGATGCTTTGTGTATTCTCATGCAGATTCAGTATGCAAAAATAGCCTAGCAATATGAGAAAGTGACACAGAGGAGCTGTAGGCTGAGGTATTATAAACCCAGAAAGGAATTTTGATATGGAGAAGGGTTTAGGATCAGATTGGGGCAGAGACCAAAAACACTCATGCCTTCCCAGCATGTTGGTGGGTGCATGTACCTCCAGTACTTGGGAGGCTGAGGCTGAGGCTGAGGATCACTGTGAGTCTGAGACCAGCCTAAGTGACATAGTGAGCTCAAGGCCACTGCATAGCAAGACCTTGTCTCAAAAACAAAAACAAAAATACCTATGCCTGCAATCCAAGAGTACAGAATACCTCATACTAGAAAATATGGATATCGGTTGATTGGCACTGTATCTTTCTAAAATAACGTTAGAAAATTAAATTCTAAAACCTATAAAAACACCATTTTGCCACCTGCTGCTTAATCATTTACCAACCTGGTCCATTTTTAGCTCCACTGAGCATCATATAAAGGATGATTTGGTCAAATAGAAGCTGCCTTCAGGATAAATGATGTCTCAGCTCCTCATATCAAGACCAATTTTCTCTCTAGTGTTATTTAGATGCATATATGTTACACACAATTCAATCCAGGAAAGAACTGTTTAACAGATCAAAAGCAGTTATTAAAATATCCCAGTGACTGATGACCATATTATAAGTAAAAGCAAAAGCTTTCCAATATGCTGCAGGTATTCATAAGGCAGACGGAATATCAGATATGTCTGCAGTAAAGATATGAAATGCAATATATCAAGATACCTGATTTTGTAAGCACTCAGAGTTGGTGCATGTACATAACACATCTTAACGTTTTTCATCCCCTTGCTTTCCTCTCCTTCCCGCCTCCTATTCATGTCCCTGAAAATAACCTTTTTAATAAATCACTAATAAAGTAAATAAAACTCTGAGTCCTGTACCTTGTTCTTGCAAATTAGTCCCTGAGATGTGAAGATGTCTGTCACGTTCAATCAGGGTCATTCTCACCAAGTTTCACAAAGATTAATGAAAATGTAAAAGAAGGAAAGGAAAACAGGAGACAGTAAGGAGGGATAATGTCTGTGGGACGTTGCTGGATGTAACCAGTCCCCCAACAGCAGAAGTTCTCATTGGGAGTCTCTTTCCCTCTTGCTCCCTGCTGACTGAGCAGAATCTCAGTAACTAGCAGGGTTAGCAGAAGGAGGGCAAGAGCTGCCTCTTCTACTCCTCTCTTGGATGCTGTTTGTCCAACCTGCAGTTCACTTTGATCCTCAAAGAGACTGCAGAAAATCGTAGAGTGTGAGAATCTGAGTCTCCCTCACCATTTCAGCTTCTGGGTCCAGATCTGGTGAATGAGTATTGGGCTTTCCCAAGCACATGTTGAACAGTTATGAGCCAGCATCCTGGTTTCTGCAGAGGGTTTGGACTGCCTACTTCACACGCATGGCTGTGCTTGCTGAAGCTGCCTCCTTTACTTGTTGAAATGCCTCTTGCATTAGGACTTTCTAAGGGAACAGAATCAATAGAAAATACGTGCATAATTACGCAAGGTGATTTTTTAGTCAGGTCTACCAAACCAGAAGCAGAGAATCCACAATGACCATCTGTGGGACTAGACAGAATGGTCCACGATGGCTGCCTACACACTGGAAACCTGGTGGGTGCAGCGGTTGCTCAACTCAAGAAGACAGAAGTCATAGAATAAAAGGAGTGAGGGATCGGGGTGCAGCATCAGTTCAAAGTAGAAGGCCTGAGAACTCACCATAGAGTTGTTGGTTCAAGTCTTCCCTAGAAGGCTGGAGGTTCGAGGTTCAAGTCTGCCCTAGAAGAAACTGGAGACTTACATCCAAATGCAATGACAAAGACAGGAACATTTTCTTCTTGTCTGTACAATAAACCTATTGGTTTGTACCAACATCAGGAGTGGGTTTCGGTCCCTCAGTTAGCTGGGCTACATGTCAGGCATTCACAGACATACCCAGACCTGTGCTTTAACTAACCGGCTCCAGATTTCTTAATCCATTCATATTAATGTATCGTTCGTTGTGAACAGTCACCCCTCTGTCTCATTAGCCAGTATGCATGACACAGGTGTCATTTTCCTTTTTACCCATCAGAAGCAAAATCCACTGGGTTGTGGTGGATTAGCAGCCTTTCTTTTTAAGAAGCCATTTGACCAAGTAGCTGCAGAAGCAAAGTGAATCATGATTAGAAGTACCCATCTCCTCTCCCTCTCACGGGGCAATGTTATCATTCAAACCATGTGAAAATAGAGAGGAATCTGGTTGTAAAATTATAAACAAAAATACTGAATTTGAAATTTTCCTTAGTTATGCCAATATTTAACAATATGAAAATTGTAATATATATGCATTGTTCATCTATTATTGTGACAAAATACTTGAGATAAACAACTTACAAGGAGGAGAGGTTTATTTTGACTCATTGTCTTGAACGTTCCTGTCGATGCTTGCTTGGTCTCATTGCTTTGGGCTGTGCTGGCATCACAGCAGGATGTAGCAGGGCAAGTGATGGGCTGCGGAGAGGAAGCCTGTTCACATCACAGTGACCAGAAAAAAGAGAGAGAGAGAGAGAGAGAGAGAGAGAGAGAGAGAGAGAGAGAGAGAGAGAGAGAATGGGGCTGAGATTTTAACATCTCCTTCAAGGCATGCTCTTAATTCCCCAGCTGTCTTCAACTAGGTCTTACCTCTTAAAGATTCTACCTCCTCCCGAAACTGCCACAAGTTAAGAATTACCCCTTTAACACATGGGCCTGGGTTGGGGGAGAACATTTAAGATCCAAATTATAGCAAATATCTTTGAACTTTCTTGAATTATGCTAAGGTATAAGAAAAAAATACAATTTAACACACATTTTTTGATATAAAAATGTGTGTTAAAATTTTGTAAAATAGTCACATATCCATTAACCCCCTCAGAATACTCTCCTTTGCTTCACAGTGTTTTGCATTATTCTTACAGTTTCTTAAGCTCTGGAAGTCCTCTTTCACAAGCATCTTTATGAAATGTGATTAAAAATACAATTAATCCTACAGTCAAGTGGCACCAGCAAAAAACAGACTTATAGAAACATTGCCAGGTCTTCACCCATCTCATCCCTGGAAGCTGACACTTTGTGGCTTCGGGTGCTTCCTTAAAGTCAAAATGACCATGAAAGGCAAACACCTTAGATCAATTCCGAACACTGAGGCAGCCCCGCAGTGCAACTAAAGATACTCTTTTCGCATCTGTTCCCCTAAAGGAAGATAGACTTTGTGGGAGATTATAAAGGTGGCTGCAATAATTCCTCCCTCCCCAGGGCCTTTATAATGTCCCTTTGCCACACCTCTCAGAGTTGGAATTGATTTCTCCATCCCTTCCATTTGGGTAGATCTGCCACTTGCTTTCCTGATATAAGTGCGAATGATGAGCCATGATTTCTGAACCTCTCAGCCTTGAGAAGTCTTGCAGACTCTGCTATTTCCCTGCTGCTGTGTGCAAAAGCTCAATCTTGGCTTCTTGATGATGAAACCACAAGAACAAAGGGCCCAGCCATCAACCAAAGCTCACCGCAGGACATGCAAGAGAGCTGGCCTGCACCATCCTGCCCCAGACTGAGCTGCAGAAGGCAGTAGCCAATTGCATGACCAGTCAAGATCAGGACAGAGACTTCCAGCTGGGCCCAGTGCAAACTGCTCACTAGCTGAATGGATGAAATTGTACTTTCTTTTAAAATTGTACTTTCTTTTAAAATTGAACTAGCTTTCAAGTAGTTTTGAAAGAGCAATAGGAAATTATACAGAATTACTGACTTATAAGATTAGAAGGAGACACAGCACGCACAACCCAACTCCTGATCTCATGCCTCTTGCAGTAGGAAGCAGGGCAGTAAAAATGCGAGCTCTCTTTTCCTACTGCAGGCCCTAATCCTATGGTATGTTTCTACTCATGCACTGAAAGGTAATTTTTCCCCAAATGCTTAAAGGGCTAGAAATTAAAGTTGATATTTGTATGAAGCCAAAACCAAACCCAAAAATGAAAGAAAAACACCCTAGGATCCAAGAGTCAATCTGAAAAATAATAAAACTTTTAAAAGTGTTATAATAATTTTAATTGTAGAGTAATATGTTTGAGATGTAATTAGGGAAATTACGTTTTAGGTACTTCATTTACTCTTAACAGTGTTTTCCATTTTCTATGTCAGAATTCAAAGTATGTTATCAAGAGTTTGAATTTTTCCTCCTCATGAAATTTCAAGATGGCAAAATAATCTTTATAAGAAGTACGAAATTCCCAAATTGGAATTTTTCTTGAGAACATAGCACTTTCCTATGGGCTTTAGCCTTTTCATTTTCCTGATTACTAGGCATTTGCTGTATTTATGCACCACATTTTTATCCTCTGTATCTTACTTCCTGGTCAGTTTTGATTCTCTTCCACTGTTGCTCCTGAGTGTGAGGGTCTGTCAGGAGAGAAGGGAGGGAGTGTTGGTGCTGCTGGCCTGCTGCAGGCCCGGGGTGCCCTGGACAGACGGACGGACGGCAAGCTGCCATGCTGTCTGTGCTGCTCTCACCCTTACTCTTTGTGAGGCCCTGTGGACCTTTAGGGGTTTCCTGTTGTCAGGCCGCCAGTGGTCTCCATGGTTACCTCTGCTTTCTCCTGCACAGATGCTGGTGAATCACATATCTCGTGCCATTTTATGGTTTACACTTTGGAGGTTTGGGGGGTATCTTACCTTGTTTTACTGTGAATGTTGTTAACAGCTTTTTAAATTCACTCCTTTCTTAATGTTAGGATTCTAAAAATTGGAAGTTCTAGGAACTGTGCCAATTCTGACACTGGCATCTTAGCAGATTTTGCTAAGATTTAACACAAAATCAATGTAGACTGCTTACTCATAATTTGAAAGTGAATGTCCAAATAGTTACTCAGATTAATACATCCAAATGGCATCTCTTGTTCACAGTTCTTGTTTGTGTCATTCTTGCTATCACGCTGATTGGCTGTGACAGTACCCCAGGATGTTGCATGACCTCTAATCACCCACAAGTTTCAGGATATGAAAAATAACCTGAAAGTAGGCATTGGTCAGTTAATCTCATTGGCAAAACACAAAATGTGATGCAGTATGATCTGGCTGCCCTGTCACTCAGTGGATGAATATAAATTCTGTGTTTCAGTATTAGAAGGTCACGTTCATATAGGCAGAAACTTTGTCCTCCAACCCAGCCTTTATCTGCTTAAACAAAAGAAATGTTAAATTTTATCTCCATATGTCAACCAACTCTTTATATCAGGTTTTTACTATTTCAGAACTTGGCAAGAAGATTTCTTTTCCTCTCTATTACTGGAAAAAAATAAACAAGGAATCACACATTGAGAGCATCTGGAAATTAAGGTACCTGGGTAATTTTAAACTTTGGTGGATCTTGCTAAGTGTATGGGTTGTAAATTGTCTCCTCTCTCCAAAACAGTACACTGACATTCTAACCCCTACAAGTTCAGAATGTCACACTATTTGGAAGTTGGGCTGTTAAGGTAAAGTCATAAGAATAGAGAGAAGCCTACCCCAACATCACTGATGTTCTTTTAAGAAGATGCCTATGAATGAAGACAGAGATAAGGAGAGGACACCGTGGTACAGTGAAAGCAGAGACTGGATCATAGTTGCAAGCTAAGGAATGCTAAATGTTGCCAGCAAACCAGCAGAATTTAGAAAGAGGCATAGAAGGATTCCCTTACAGGGTTTAGAAGGAGCCCAATCCTGCTAACACCTTCATTTCAGACTTGTAGCCTACAAACTCTGAGACAGTAACATTCTTCTTCAAGCCACTCAGTACGTAATACAATGTTAAGATCACTCTAGGAAATTACAGCGCTAAATAAAGGCTGTGGAGAGGTCTTGGCTTGGACCTCCATAATATCAGACTGGGAAGCTTAAACAAAAGACATTTATTTCTCACAGCTTTGAAAGTTAGGAAGTCCAAGATCAAGGTGCCTGCAGATTTGCTGCTGGGAAAAGGCCTTCTTCCTGGCTTTCAGATGCCTGCCTTCTCAATACGTCCTTATATGAAAGTGGGGGAGACATTTCTTACCTTTCATATGTAAGGACACCAATCCTATTGTGGGGCTCTCCTCTCATGACCACCTCTAAACCTAAGTACTTCCCAAAGGCCTCCCTTTTAACACCATCACAGTGAGGGGGTAGGACTTCTACAGTTAAATTTTGGGAAGACCCAACCATTGAGTTGGACGCAGGCAGCTTCTTTTGTTCGTGGTTTGCAGCCTGTATTGGGCAATGCGAGTGCTTTTTGCAATCACAGACTTGGCTTTTAATGCATGCAATATGAACAACAGCCTCTAACCCTCAGACTGCCTGAGATGTGCACCTCACTGGTCCCTGAAACTTTATCCATATCACCGATGGTTGTTTTCACACAAGAGAGTGGCTTTTTTCCCTATAGACAGCACAAATGGGAGTAGTTTTTGACTCATATTCATAAAAGGCATGATCTAGGACGGGGATGTCGCTAAGTGGTAGAGCACTTGCGTAGCACATCCAAGGCCCTGAGTTCAGTACCTTCACTCCTTCATATTGAAGGACATAATTCGTGAAAATTTTGCATATGATTAACCCAACACTGCCATTACCTTCCATGACAACAACATAAACATGTTTGTTTCTTTTTAAAATGTATTCCAGGTACTCTTCAAAATGCAAACATATTCATTGAATAACTGATTTTATACAAATAAATATGTAACTGCCTGTATAATAAATGCATAAGGTAAAAGTAAATAGTGATATATGCATATGATAGAGAACTTTGACATGACTTAAGTCTAGGAGGGCTTTCATAAGGAAATGGCAATTGAGCTGAGCTCAAAAGAATAGGAAGTATGCAAAGATGGGAGGCAAACTGCTCCAGGGGAAGGAAGAACATGGACCAACACAGGAACAAAAAGGAAAAGAGACAGTGACTGATGTGGATGGAACCATAAAAATATCTTTCAGGATAAAATAAATCTCACACTGGAGCTTTTAAGTAACTCAAGTCTATCTTCTACAGAATTTGTTTGAAACATGGGTTCATCTAGTGTTTATGCAATGTTTATGTCTATCAGTGTTGACACCTCAATGAAAATTGTCAATTTATGACAGGCCCATCCCTACAGAAAGATCAAGCAGCAGAAGGGGAAAATGGGGGTTACTGGTCACTACAACACTCTAAAGCAATCAAGAAAGTCTACAAATAGCTGTTCTTCTGGGGAAGTAGCTCCCTCACAGTAAGTCCAGTTCCTCAAAATTCCTTTTCCAAATACAGGGAAGTAGTCCCATAGTACTTACAATTGAGAAGAAAAGAACAGAAATGGTGGTGCACACCTGTAATCCCAGCACTCAGGAGGCTGAGGCAGGAGGATCTTTACAAGTTCGAGACTAGCTTGGACAACAAAGTGAGCTCAAGGCCAACCTGAACTACATAGTGAGACCATGACTCAAAAAGACAATGATAACAACAACAT